CTTTCCCGAGTATTCCCCAAAGGCGCAGGGGCTGCCTCAGAAGGGGATCCCTCAGCACGTTTCACGTTAATGGCCCCAGCAAAGGGAAAAGCTACAAAAAATATACACATAGCAAGAAAAACCAGAAAGAAAACAACAAGAAAAACAAGTAGCAAGAAAAAAAGGTGAGGAGTCCTCAAGAGAGAGTGGGTGAGAGAGAGGGGGTAAAGAAAAGCCGGCACAAAATAATTGTTTTCCGTTGAGCAATAATTTTCTATACTCTCCTCCTTTTGCCCCCAATAAAGAGCCTGTCAGTGGGCGTGGCCGTGCCTTATTTTTGGCCCAGTAAATTGAGTTAAGTGTAAAAATAAAAAAAAAAATGTAAAAACAAAATGCAAAAGCCAAGCCCAAGCTGACAGGCAAAACTGGGTGAAAATGAGGAAAATTGCAAAGAAAAAAAATGCAGAGCGGAAGTGGAACATTTGTCTGCTTGTCCACATTAAACAAGGAATGGGTTAATTAAGCCAACTAATCTTAATGATTTGTGGTGCTTTAGTTCAAGGTGCTAGAAGGAACTAAGAGCGGAATTTCAGAATTAACTGGTTTTTACAAGTATCCTATAATTATACTTGTTGGTTTTCTAGCCTTTGGTTTTCTAACCTTCTCTACAGCATTTTATTCATATTTAAATTTATATGTATATCGAATTGTCATTCAGAGTTTAAAAACAAAACTTAAAGTCTTTAATAAGTTAGTTTGAAGGTCTTAAGTTCCGATTATTAAATAGGATTTACTAAGAATTTGTAAGGAATTTTGAATATCTTAAGTAAATATTAACTTATAAATATTCTACACATATATTTGATCAAAATTTATATTTTTCGTACCACAAATTCCTTGCCTTATTCAAAGCATTCTCGTAATTAAACATCTATAATTATATCTACTTTTCTATTAGTGTCTTTATGGCAGGATAACGTATATCATGATGTAATTTTAATGCCCCCATGGATCTTGGCGGTCATTATTTGTTAACTTCCCTCCTTGGCTGTTTTTCCCAACATTTTTCGTCCCCCCCATCCCGCAAAGCACACATTAATGAGGCCACAAAATGAGCTCTTAAATGACCAACAAGAGGAGGAAAAACCAGGCTGAGAAATACAACAACAAAAAAAGAAAGGAAAATTGTTAGGCACCGAAAACATTGTTGCGGCAATTGTCTTGTGTCTTGTGAGTAGATTTTCCTGTCATTGTTTGGCCTTTACTTTACTTCACTTTACTTTGCCTTGCTTACATTCATTACACACACAAAAGGGTGGTGGTGGTGATGGTGGGGTGGCTTTTCCATTTTTCCCACGAAAATGCGAGGAGTGAATAGAGGAAAGCGCAGAAAGCAGAAGGACATTGTTGCATCCTGGAGCGGAGCATGAAGCTCGTCTCATTCAGCGTTAATTTTATGGATCCTGTTCAACTTAAGGAGACCATAAATCTCTGCCAAGTCTCTAAATTAGAGATGGATTTGGATTTCTAAATATAGAAGTAAATTTATATATTTGATAATAATTTCCTGGCATAAAATTACCTTTTTTGGCTAGCTAAAACATATTTTTCACGACTCACTTGACTCACCTCTAGCAACACTTTTCCTACATAGTACACGAATGCCTAAAGGAAAACTGCGCTCTCTGCTCTCACCTTTTGTGTGGGAACAACAGCGGTGCAAAACAAAAAAAAATTAAGAACATTTTAAAGCGCAACGCCAAACTCCTTTTAAGAACAAGAATTATTATGCTAGTGGCCTTCATTTTCCACAAAGTGAGAAAAAGAGAGAGGAGGAGAGTTTTCCGCTGGCCGCTGTCCGTTTTCCGATCCCATTTGGAAGCTATTACAGGCAAGAAGGAAGCGCGGTCTTTCATTCCAAAGTTTTTCCCATGAAACGGAAGCCAGAGAATAAGTTTCGTTGGCAGAGACCAGGAAGGCGGACGGGGAAATATTTTCCAAGTGGGGGAAAAAGGCTTGTGGTCAAGGGATTTGTTTGGCCAAAGGTTTGACTTTGATTTTGGTTTGATTCCCTAAGCAGTTTTATGGCCAAAAACAAGTCATGTATAAAACGGGGCAAGTTCAAGGGGACTTAAAGACCTATTTAAGAACTTTGAAAATGTCAAGGATAACACAGTCACACATGTTGAAGCTGGATTATATGTAAGCAACTTTCCCAAATTAAATGCTATTAATAAGAGAAAGTACAATTTAATATTAAAAATGTTGAGATATATGCCCACCTACACACCCACCTTAAAATGTTAGGAAAATAAATACAGAAAATATAGAAAATACGAAAGGGGAAAAGCCAGAGCAGACATTTTGATTTCCTTAGGAATTTAATAAATATGGCCAGGACAAGTATTTGTTAATGAAAATTGCTCAGGGATAATTCGAACCCTTTTTTCTCTCCGAGATTCTGGCAGGGAAAAGCCACAGAGTTGTGCAAATAAATATGAAAATAGTTCGCTTTCCCCTTTCTCATAAACAAGATATTTAAAATAATATGTTTGTTAGTGTAAACATTTATTTTCCATTTAAATCTGTTGTTATTTCAATGATATTTATATTGACAGAATCGTACAGCACCGTGGGTGTCCAAATGAAGTTCATTCAATTTGTCGGCTCATCCATGGATATGTAAAATTATTTTCGTCCTTTTTTCCGCCTTTTTGTTTCGGCTTTTTTTAATCTAGACTTTTATGCTGTTCATTTTGCAACTGTCAATTCGCATATCCGACAGGGAACATATAGATATATAAATATATGTGTGTTAACTTGACGATTTGTGATGGATTCTTGGAAATAAATTAAAACATTCCAACGAGGCTTTTACAGAGTGAAATAACATTGAGTTGCATTCATTTTATATATGTCTTTGTTAAATATTTAACAAAATAAATACTTATTTGAGGCAAATAAAACCAAGAGTCTCCTTAAGTAATTTGTTACAATTTTTGCACACTTTAAAAATCTGCACTTAATAAGCTGTGAAAATACACTCTTCACTTAACGATTGGCACGTCCACGATTTAAATTGGAAAATCTGCCAAAGAGAGAACAAAGAAATGGGGGAAAAAGCGTTGGAAATCCAAACAAATCACTTTGCATCAATTTAATGCTGCAACGTGTCATCAAAAAATTTATTGATGAGTCCCGGTCATCAGGTCGCAAAACGTTTAATCAGATTGTTTTGCGAGAAAGCAATTTGTACATGGGAGTTTTCCCCACCTCGCATTTCCCCCTATCCATTTTCCACTAACCAATATATAGCCATAGTTTGTTTCCGTCCATCGTTTGCACGCGTAATTGCCGGATAAAGTGGCGATTTGATGGTTCCGATTTGATCGGCACTTGCAACACCATGTTGCAACTGGGATGCATTGCCTCCTGGGATATATCCCATATAGATGGGATGAATATATCCTTTTGTTGCCTTATTGTTGCCATTTAAGCATCTCTTGAGTGTTACGAGCGGCCATAAAAATGGTTGCCAAGACGAAGGAAATATATATGTCAAGCGTGGGTCCTTGGGGCGATAAAGCGGAAACCGGGGGAAAACTGTAGGAAAACTGGGGGGAAAACTGGCAAAGGCAGACTCACACATGCATAGAGAAAAGCATGTAGGTGGCCATAACTTGAGGCGCCAGTTAACTGCATTGCGTGTTGGCCTTTTTTTAATGGCTCCTCTCAAATGCATGGTGAGGTCGCAGCTACCCTTAAATCGTTTGAAAAACTATCCTTAAACGAACGGATCCAGAAAAATTCATATGATTTCCTTATTCCGTATAGTTATTAAATATAATTATTTATAAACATGAAACAGTCAAGAAACATGTGTCACAAAGTTGTTAAAAACGAAAACACTACTTGAAATTGGTAAGTTATTAAAACCAGACCAAAATCAGAAAGGGAGGCCGAAATCAAATTTTAAAAAACTCATAACTAAGCCAAAAAAGCATTAATTTCAGTTTGGAAAGCTGTCCCATGTTAATTTTTGTTAGTGTAACAAATCTGCACACTCAATATAGAACTTAAAAAAAAAAAAATTTTGATAAATTTTTTGACATTTTTTTAACGATGCAACCCCTTATAAAATGTTGAAAAAATTTATAATTTTTTTTTTCACCGGAGATGGCAAGATCGATTCGGCTTTTGATGCTGATCAAGAATATATATGATTTATAGGGTCGGAAATGATTTCTTCTATGCGTTTTAAGCTTCTGACTAAAATTATATACCCTACAAGGGTAAAGTTCTGGCTTATATTATAAAGTAAAGCTGCTTCTTAACAGCAAAAATATTCTTTAGAAATCAGAATCAAAGCTTAGAAATTTATTAAAGCCTTATTAAATGCCTCAATATCTAGCTTTAAGCTGGAGAAACTATCATATAGTCTTCCCTTTTCCTAAATTAATTGTCTGAATTAAAAACTGATTAAAGCAACTTTGTGGTCTAGGTCTAGGGCTATCTGGAATCACTGATAATCAGTGGTTATCAGGGGTTCTCCACGGAGGTCGATAAGGTTGGCAAACAAATAATCCAGACAAAATAACATCTGTTGTGCCATCCGATCGGATGGTCTGTTCAAAGGGAGCAAAGTATACCAAAAGACACGTCATGAAAACAGCCAAGAAAAAGTCAAGAACCTAAAGACACTACACTTGAAAAAAATAAATAATTAAATAAAACACAATATATTATGAAACATATAAGTATTAAATAAGCTTTTAAAAAACACCTTGGAAAAAGAAGACTTGGGTCTCTCTTAACTCTTTGCTAATCTCTTTTCTATATCTAAATCTCTAGTTTATAAACCAATTTATTTCATTACTCAATATAAAGAGTATTAGCTCCAGTTTTCTCCCAGTGTCTCACAGAGAGAGCAAGCGAGAAAGAGAGACCCCCACCGAGATAAGACCCTGCTCAGCAATATAACCCAATCATTCCCAGCACACCCAACTCAGTGGCTCATCATCTCTTTGCCGGAATGGATCGTTGGCAGAATCGCGTGGCCGTAATCAGTGGCGCCAGCTCTGGCATTGGAGCAGCCTGTGCCCGTCTCCTCGTTGCCGCCGGCCTTCAGGTGGTGGGTCTGGCTCGTCGCACCGATCGCCTGGAGCAATTAAGGAAATCCCTGCCCGAGGAGCAGAGGAAACGCTTCCATCAGCACACTTGCGATGTGTCGAAGGAGGAGCAGGTGGACACTGCCTTCGAGTGGATCGAAAAGGAACTGGGTGGAGTCGATGTCCTGATCAATAATGCTGGCATTGTCCTCGGCGGTCAGCTGATCGATATGCCTACCAAGGATATTGGCAACATTCTGCAAACGAATCTCATGGGCAGCATCTATTGCACCAAATGGGCAGCCGGAAGCATGAGGCGTCGCCAGGTGGCAGGACACCTGTTCTTTGTGAACAGCACAGCTGGAGTGGCGGGTTATAAACCAGATCCAGCGGACGAGAGTCTAAATGCCTATACCCCAAGCAAATTTGGTCTAACAGCTGTGCATGAGATTTGCCGGCAGGAGCTGATCCAAAAGGGTTCTAGGATCAAGACCACGGTAAGTGAATTTCACATTCTATATATTAAAATAATTAAACCAAATCTTTCAGAGCATCAATCCCGGCTGGGTGGCCACCGAAATAGTGCCCGACGAGACCAAGGCCAAACTGGGTGAGGTGATCCTGCAGGCTGAGGATGTGGCCCAGGCTGTGCTATATGCTTTGGGAACCCCTCCTCATACCCAGGTGGAGCAGATAACGCTGAGGGCGGTGGGCGAGTACTACTGAGTGACCTTCTCCAGATATCGCTATGCTGATAAAACCAGCTCCCAGATTAGGCCATCGACACACAATAACAATCAAATGGAGGCGAACGACCTACAAACACACTCACACACACACAATCAAGACACAATTACACACAAACACCCCAAAGAAACACAGTGAGAAATAAGGGAAGAAGAAAGAAAATAGACTACAATTAAAACAAAAACGAAAGCAAACTTGTTTGTATTTTATAAAGCATTTAATAGTTATAGCTTCTTGATATTCTATTTAATTCTTTTACTATCTTTCTTCTCCATTTTTCTCACAGTGCATATACACACACACACTATACACACTCTTTCGGTTGACCACAAAATTGTTTGCTTTCACCTCGTTTCATTTTACTTTTATTGTTACTGTTACGATTATTTGTTCTGCGCTTTCTCCAGTCTCTCAAACCCACTTTTCCTTGCCCATAGCTAAATAAATAATTCAGTTTTATAAATTACTAAAGACCCTTGTCCAATCGATAGTATCGAATGGGTGGGAAAGAAATGGAAACAAGTATTTGCCTAGGAATGTTTAAAGATTCATCGACGGAGGCATTGTTAATGAGTTAGCGTTGGGTCCTGGCGATAAAGTCATCAAAACTGGATTGGGGGCACTTTATAAATATTCCAAAAGAGGGAAGAATATAATACCAAACTATTCATTTTTAAAGGTAAAGATATAGAAGATCCTTACATGTTTCTTTAATTTAATATTCAAAATACTAGTAACCTTAAAGTTCACAAAAATGTAAGTTGAGTAATTCCTAGAGCTGGCTATCAATAATTTACCAAACTCCCTCAATTTTACAATAAAAGCATTTGTCAAGTACATTCACAGTCAAAATGAAATGTAAATATTAAATTTATAAACAATATAATAAAGAAATCTCCAACCTCAATCAGAAACTGAAACAGGAAATAACAAAGGTTTTAAAAAGGTTTAAAGTCTCTATGAACATTATTTAATATATATTTGTTGCGAAACTGTTTTGAGCCAACTTGTCACACTGACTTTAATTTGTATTTGCCAACCGTTTCCAGTTTATAAAGTGATTAAATTAAGTCACGAGTCAGCGAGTTTCCCCTCGGGGGGCATCGGGAATCGGCGAAAAAGTTTCGAGTTTATAAGCTTTTAGTTGTGGCCAAAATAGTTTTTGCACCAAAAAAGGCAACATTATTTGTTTGTGTGCCCAAAAGTTGTTCTTTGGAGCTGCCACATAATCATGGAAATGATTTTAAAATATATACATATATTAAAATATATATTTACGTTTTCTTTGCGGCAATTTCTGCCACTCGTTCTTTTTATTCTAAATATTACGTATACGCATATTACGTATACGCATATTAAACGTATATGGATTATACGTATACGCATATTACGTATACGCATATAACGTATACGCATATTACGTATACTCATATTACGTATACGCATATCACGTATACGCATATTATACTTATAAGGATATTACGTATACGCATATTACTTATACGCAAATTACGTATACGCATATCATGTATAGGCATATTACGTATACGCAAATCACATATACGCATATTAAACGTGTACGGATATTACGTATATGCATATTACGTATACGCATATTAAGTATACACAGTGTGGACTTGTAATTGCACTCGCTGTTGGGTCCTTGAAAATTAAGGAACATTTTCAAAATTAGCAAAGAAAAGTTTTACGAGAAGGGAAAGGGAATGAGCTTAAGCCAAAAATGCGAGGCATCGTCATCATTAACATCAGCTGAAGGGCATAAGGGCCCATATTATCTCGGCATCAGGATTTTATTTCATTTTCAGCAAACAGGACACAGGAAATTCTTTTCTTCTTTTTTTCGAATCAGCTTGTAATTCAGCGGAAAAATGTAAACTTTTCGTCGTTCTTTCTTTCTTTTTTGAGAAACCTTTTAATGACAGGCCATTCGAAAAGCAGACACACATATGTTAAGCTTCGAATTTATCAAAAGGGGAGCAAGGGGAGGAAAGTTAAGAAAGCATGAAGGATGCACGCGTAAAGGATAAAACACTTTTTCCCATTTAATTATTTAAGTTTTTTGGCCAACGAGTTGCACAAGTCATATGTTTTCCCGCTGTTTTCCGTTAAGTTTGTGGGAACTTGTTCTGAGATTTTTTGATGACAGTATGAGAGCTTCGCAGCATATACATTCTTATGACCAGATTTATTTTTATATATTTTCTTTAAAAATTAATTGATTATTTGTGAGCTTCCATTTTAACCAATTATATTACAAATAAACAGTTCTGAGTAGTTCAAAACAGAACTTTTAAGTCCCAGTAAAGGGTATTTCATACTTCGTCTAGAAGATGCGTCTGGCTTCCGCTTTGTGTTTTTGAAAACTTTTCGTGATGATATGTGAGAGAGTGCTGTGCCGGGTGTGTATTTGTATTCCCTTCTAGCCGCTCCTGGAACCTTCTAGGAGAAGCCAAGGATGCCTTTCGCCTGTCTGCCAGTTAGACAAGTTTCCCTTTGTTTGGCAGCCGCCTTCCTCCCCATCTTCACTCACTTCCGGCATTTTGTTTTAATTAAATTTATAACAAATGTCATATATATCGTTGAAAGTTTGCCACCAACCAGCAGCAGCCTGCATATAGCAGCTCTTTAAGCCCATGGCCAATGGAAAATAGTCTTCACAAACTATATAGACTCTCTGGATTAACTCAAATTTATGCCAAAGATGAGGGTCATTTGGAAAAGCCTTTAGGGGCCCAGACAAAACGGTAATAGGAAATTCACTTCAAACGCCAGCAAAGAGTTCATTTGAGTATAGTTTATTATTTGTAATAGAAACCAAGAGCAATTTATGGGATACATTATAATAATAATAAAAGGGAATTGAATGAATAATAAGAATGCTTATTTATTCACTTGTCTTTGCTTGAGATTTGTATCTCAAAGGGAATTATTATGGATCATTAAATGTATTATTTTATTTAACAAAATAAGGGGTTTTAATTACTTTCTCATACATTTCCTTATCAATTTATCAAATTTAACCTTAATCAAAGTTCTGTTAACAATATTTAAGACCTAAAATGCCTCTCTCTCTGGCCCAAAAACATTATGTCAAAGGGTAGCTTGGCTTATTTTGGAATTTGAATTTTCCAGCACAACAACAGTTTTCCCTTTTGCCCTAAAATGACAATATTTAAATTGAATTTAAGCTTGTACCAGAGGAGCGTACTTGTGTGTAATGAAAGCTTTCTGGCGAATATATGCTGGCTTAACCCGTTTAACTGAAATTCGTTATGGCCTGAAAACCCGGCCGACCGAGGCTTGTTGGCCAAAAACCAGCCCACAACAATATGCAACATGGATGAGTGTGTGGGTATGAGTGTGTGTGTGTGTGTGTGGCATTTTTGATGACCTTGGGAGCTCTTTATTTTTTGCTACCTGCAGCTGTCTCCTGTGTGGAATCCTCCCTCCCCACTCCCCCCTGCTTTTCCCCATTGGCAGGAATTTTTGGTAGCATTTCCACAGAATGCTAGGCAGTAGCAGGTGCCTGTGGTTCCTCTTAGTTTTCCAGCAGCGGCAGGTTTTCCCTGCTATCGACATTTGCTTTATGACAAACCACCCACAATACACACAGGGACACACAACACAACACCCTTTCTACACACACACACACACACACAGGCGGGGGGAGCCACTACTGTTTGCCTTCTGTTTGGGACAGTTGTGGCAAACATGTGATGATGACCTTTGAGCCCGAAAAAGGATTGCAACGGCCAGGCCATAAAATGTTCGAATAATTCGTAGAAATATCCTACGGAAAATTCCGAAACGCATATCCATCAAAGCCAAAATTATGCCTATTATTAGGAAAATCACTGAATGTAGTTGACAGCTGGGACTTGATGAGCTTTTTGCGATGACTTTATTTTGAATTTATGGCTTTATGACGCGATTTTAATGACTATTATATATTTCCTTGGTTTAATAAGCTCGTAAATATTTCTATATTTATGTTTCAGTAAGTTTATTTTAAACAACTAAGAATTAATGACGAGAATTAGTTTAGTTTTACTTTAAGTCTAAATAGATTGAAAACTTCAATCCTTAAATTGTATGCCCTTTCAGGGTATTATACATTTAATTAGAAGCTTGAAACTAAGTTAAGGAGTCATTTTTGACCCTATAAATCATATATATTCTTGATCAGCAACAACAGCCTAATCTATCTAGCCATTATTTGGAAGAAAACAATTTTCATAAATTTTTTCCAAATTTTATAAGGGGTTACAAAGCTAAAATTTTCGATATTTTGAAATTTTTTTAGATTTTCAATTGACTATCCAGATTTATTAGTCCAATAAAAACTAACATGGGACAGCTTTCCGAATTGAAGTTAATGCATTTTTGGATAAGTTATACGTTTTTTAAACATTGATTTATTGTAAAAATTGTGATATAAAAAATCGTTAAATATCGATCCAAAAATGAATGCTAAGCTTACGTATTATCGATTTTCAATAATATCCTATAATTAAATTTCAAACTGCATAAGCTGGATAAACTATCTAAATTTTGGCTTCCCAAAGTTTTTTTCCTTTCTTATTAGACAATACAGCACATTAATTAACCTTCTAAAAGAACAGCAATATTAAATTATTAAATAAAAAACCTGCATTTAATCTAAAAATTACTCCAATTCCAACATCATTAACTCCCGCCCTGAACTTTCCGTTCATTGCCCTCGAGGCCAACTTTGGCCAGAATTAAAAGCATACATTTCATGTGATTGCCCTTTTATGGGATGTCAATCATGATTGATCCCTGGTGCTGGGGTAATTTTTTTCTTGTTTTCCCTTCATTTTTTTTTTGTGTTGGCCTCATTCGGTTGAAAATTCGGTCATGCCATCGTCATCGTCATTGTCAGGCAATTTGCAAGCCAAACAAAAGCAAACAATAAGTGCCAAGAAAATTGCCCAAAGAGTGTCCTGCATTTTTGATTTTCTGATTGATGAGCTTCAGCCAGGAGCTTCGTGAGGTGAGCTCAAGGACCTCAGCAGGCAGTAGAAAAAGGTGCCCTGGCAAATAGTTCAAATAATACCAGAGAAATAGAGATAGAGATAGCGAGAGAGACACAATCAAACTGCACAAATATTATAGTTCAGATGAAGTTGCTGTTGTTCATCAAGGAGGCGAGGTCCCTGCAAAAACATTGACAATCCGAATGGCAAACACATTCGATTCGGTTCAGTTTACTTTGCATTTGCATTTAATGAAGCGAAAACAATGCCGCTGGTTGAGGGATTTTCACCTTATCCCGGCCACCATTTTGTGCCTTAATTGGCCTGGCTTAAATTTGGATTAGTAAGTCAACTCTAACAGCTCGAGTTCCATACTAACTACATAAAATTACAGCAACAATTTCAATGAAAATTGCCAAACAGACGGATAAAATATCAAATAACTGTGGTAAA